CTCCTCCAGCGAAGAAGAACTCACCTCCCCCTCCCATGAAGAAGAGCCCCTCCCCTCTTCCTCCAAAGAAGATCTCACCTCCTCCTCCTCTGAGGAAGAGCCCCTCCCCTCCTCCTCCAAAGAGGGTCCCCGCCTTTCCTCCTCCAAAGAGGAGCCCCGCCCCTCCTCCTCCAAAGAGGGTCCCCGCCCTTCCTCCTCCAAAGAGGGTCCCCGCCTCTCCAAGTTGCTTGGAAGAATCCCTCTGATGGACCTCATCATGCATGGCAAATGATCATGGCCACCCGCTCTTTGCACTCACACCACTGCAGGAAACGACAACCACGGCAATTTTGCCATCGGAAGCGAGAATTGGGGAGACTATGTGGTGTGCAACAACTTGGATGTCCAGGGCGGAAGCGCTTGCCAGTTGAGAGACCTCCAGACTGCGGAGACAGTCTTCATAGAGGCTCCCTCCCCTGCACCCGTGGCCCCCAGTCCTGCCCCGGCACCCAGCCCATCACCTTCTACCCCGGCTCCATCCCCTGCTTCTACCCCAACCCCTGCGACACCTCCTTCCCTTCCCACACCGACGCCCGCAGCCCCCTCCCCTGCATCTGTGCCGTCTCCTGCGACCAAGTACCCTCCACCAGTGTCCAGTCCCCCACTGGCTTCCCCTCCTCCTCGAGGACAGCCTCCTCTTCCAAGCCCACAGCCCCCACCATCGCCACCGTCACAAGAACCGCCCTCCCCATCTCCAATGAGTAAGAGTCCCCCACCAGCTCCTAGAAGTGGCACCACCCCTCCACCCCCCAGGATGAATAGCCCACCTCCTCCGATGAAAAGGAGCTCTCCTCCTCCTCCTCCTCCTCCATCTCCTCCTCATATGAAGAAGACCCCCCCTCCCCCTCCCGTGAAGAAGAGCCCCACCGCACCCCCTCCTCCAGCGAAGAAGAACTCACCTCCCCCTCCCATGAAGAAGAGCCCCTCCCCTCTTCCTCCAAAGAAGATCTCACCTCCTCCTCCCCTGAGGAAGAGCCCCTCCCCTCCTCCTCCAAAGAGGAGCCCCGCCTCTCCTCCTCCAAAGAGGGTCCCCGCCTCTCCTCCTCCAAAGAGGAGCCCCTTCCCTCCTCCTCCAAGGAAGAGATCCTCACCTCCTCCAAAGAAGGGCACCCCCCCTCGTTCCCCGAAGAGAAAATCACCATCCTCTCCGGTTTGAAACACTTCCCCCTCACCTCGTTCGACGAATAGGCCTGCTCCTATCCCGTCGCGATGAACCTCCCCTTCAAATTCCACAATAAAAGCCTCTTCAATGAGGAATACCTAACATGCATCATCCAGGGTCGGCTTCCCCAAACAAAAGCCTCCGCTAAGTCTCTTATATTCTTAAGAAGGAAATCCCACTCCTTCTCAGGCATTCCTCCCTCGTCAGCTTGTTCCAACACCTCCCCTGGGGTCGTGCATTTGTCCATGTCCACTGCGTTGTAGGATTTGAACTTCTCTTTCTCCAGGTTTCAGCATCGCTTCTTCGTCCCAAGCATTATGTAAAACTGGATACTATGGGGCTGGCAGCACCTCTGATATCCTCAAAGGATGACCAAAACCGATGCCGCAGCACGAGGGAACGGAGGCGTGAGATTCTCGAGTTATTTAGCTTGACATGAAGTAGCATACAAGACGGTGGTGTCCCAACCATGCGGTGTTCAGCTTGGAGAACTCTGCTTTGACCGCCTGATTCGCTGTTGGGCTGGAGTGAGTGAATGTCCATTGTAAGGCCCATGACCCGCAGAATTCATTGCGCGACTTGGAGGCCGTCCTTTGTAGCCATCGATCTTCCACGTGAAAGAATCATGCAGAAGTGTGTACTTGAAGAGGTGAATCGTTTAAAAACTTGGCAAGGATGTCCTCGGTAGGGAGTGGAATGTCTCGTCACCACCCATGCGAGGGCATTACAGTGGCAGGATACTCAGGGAAGCTGCAATTTAGCGTCTTATAATCCAGTATAAGAGAAAACGGGTAAATTTGAGAGCTGATGATGCTTCGCCGTATGACCTGTCCGCCTACTTCGCTCATGCAAGGCCCCGGCACTGCAGTAGAAGCACGATAATCTCCTCGCGTTCAAAAAATCAGCTTGAATGGAAATGTTGGATCTCGATCCCATCTTCGTGATAATTTTGTGTCATACTCTCGAAACAACAAAGAATTTTGGAATAACCCTCCAGCCTACTCTGTCTCTGAGACCGGTCTGACGCCTCTCCTCCTCCAAAGAGGAGCCCCTTCCCTCCTCCTTCAAGGAAGAGATCCTCACCTCCTCCAAAGAAGGGCACCCCCCCTCGTTCCCCGAAGAGAAAATCACCATCCTCTCCGGTTTGAAACACTTCCCCCTCACCTCGTTCGACGAATAGGCCTGCTCCTATCCCGTCGCGATGAACCTCCCCTTCAAATTCCACAATAAAAGCCTCTTCAATGAGGAATACCTAACATGCATCATCCAGGGTCGGCTTCCCCAAACAAAAGCCTCCGCTAAGTCTCTTATATTCTTAAGAAGGAAATCCCACTCCTTCTCAGGCATTCCTCCCTCGTCAGCTTGTTCCAACACCTCCCCTGGGGTCGTGCATTTGTCCATGTCCACTGCGTTGTAGGATTTGAACTTCTCTTTCTCCAGGTTTCAGCATCGCTTCTTCGTCCCAAGCATTATGTAAAACTGGATACTATGGGGCTGGCAGCACCTCTGATATCCTCAAAGGATGACCAAAACCGATGCCGCAGCACGAGGGAACGGAGGCGTGAGATTCTCGAGTTATTTAGCTTGACATGAAGTAGCATACAAGACGGTGGTGTCCCAACCATGCGGTGTTCAGCTTGGAGAACTCTGCTTTGACCGCCTGATTCGCTGTTGGGCTGGAGTGAGTGAATGTCCATTGTAAGGCCCATGACCCGCAGAATTCATTGCGCGACTTGGAGGCCGTCCTTTGTAGCATCGATCTTCCACGTGAAAGAATCATGCAGAAGTGTGTACTTGAAGAGGTGAATCGTTTAAAAACTTGGCAAGGATGTCCTCGGTAGGGAGTGGAATGTCTCGTCACCACCCATGCGAGGGCATTACAGTGGCAGGATACTCAGGGAAGCTGCAATTTAGCGTCTTATAATCCAGTATAAGAGAAAACGGGTAAATTTGAGAGCTGATGATGCTTCGCCGTATGACCTGTCCGCCTACTTCGCTCATGCAAGGCCCCGGCACTGCAGTAGAAGCACGATAATCTCCTCGCGTTCAAAAAATCAGCTTGAATGGAAATGTTGGATCTCGATCCCATCTTCGTGATAATTTTGTGTCATACTCTCGAAACAACAAAGAATTTTGGAATAACCCTCCAGCCTACTCTGTCTCTGAGACCGGTCTGAGCCGTGGGAGGAGCCATGCGGTGGCCGGATGAACGCCCGGTATACACGTGGATGTGCGGTCCTGTGCAACCCGCACGATGCCGTACAGCTCGTTCTTTTAGGTGGTTTTTTTATGATTAACAGTTCTAAACTGTGTGTCAAGGGGGTTTTCTGCCTTTGCACCCACCGGACAACAGTCCTAGCCGGTCCGCAGATGGTGAGGTCGTCGACACAGCACTGTGCCGTACTCCTCCGCGCACTTCTCGTTGCCAGCCTAGTATGCATCGCAACGGTGAGATACCTTTGAAGCTGGTGTAGGAGGGAATTTCGAGTCTTGTTACGGGTATCTCGCAGGAGCGCTGCTATGACTCACTGTGGATCGGCCACTTTCCTTTGTTGCAGGCAGATTGCGACCCCAGCGTTGGATTCTATGGTCTTCCCACGATCGAGTGGGTACAAGGGGACATCCGGGGTGGGATCTCCATGTGTGTGCGGCCCAGTCTCATACGCCAGTTCTCTGGTCCCCTTGGCTTCGTTGATTGATACGGTCACGCGTCAAGCCCCTCCCCACGACAGGTATGAAGGGACCATCTATCTCGCCAGCGCGGACGACCCCGATTACTATTGCCGGTGAGGCCAGGCGGGTGTGGGGGACGGGAAGCCCATGCATCCAAAGGGACCACTCCCCCAAATGCCGGGCATTGAGGAAGAATTCTTCTGTAAGGGCTTAGCCGCTCCGCCATCATCCTCTGACCGACCCTGCCCCCCCCCCCTTCGCCCCCCCCTGGTGACCCTACTGCAGGCTAAAGGGCTTTGGCGCAGACGCGATTGGGATCCCCAAGAGCGCAGATTTGAAGCCCCACGACCCCTTCACCGGGTTCAGCATCAGCACTATTGATCCAGAGACCCGCAAGGTCTGCACCCCCTCCGACGACCAGGCCTGCGCATACCTTCAGGTGGTCATGTGCTCGACAGTGTACACCCCCGGCTGCGGCCCCGACTGGAAGGGGAACATCGGCAACGGCAACGACGGCAACGAGAACATGGGAAACAAGAACGTCGGCGACTTCAACAGGGGTGAGTGGGGACTCAAGTCGCCCCCATCCACCGTGCCCCTGCCTGGGACTTCCCACACCCAACCACCCACCCCACTGCTGTGCAGGGAACGGGAACCGCGGCGACCACAATGTGGGGTCGAACAACACCGGTGACAGCATAGTTTGCCACAACTGGGCCAGCTCTGACCCCTGCCAGGTCGAGTACCTGAATAACAGTGAAACTGTCACACTGGCGACACCATTATCGCCATCACCTCCCCCCCCACCCCCAAATCCCCCTCCTCCGCCCCCATTGCCCCCGCCCTTGCCTCCCCCGTCCCCACCGCCTGGACAAGAGTGCGACCCGACCATCAAGTGGTTTGCGCTGCCCACAGTAGAGTGAGTCCATGCCGGGCTTTGGGCAGCAACACCTGATGTCCATGGGCCCTGTCTTGCCGAGGCGGTGCAGGGTCTGAGGCTGATCTCACACCGCGGACCCCTCCTGGATTCCCCACCCCCCAGTTTCCAAGGCGCTCTGTACCTCCTGGCCAGCTCCGGTGCCGACGCATTCTGCAAGTGAGTGCGCAGGGAGGCGGCTGCATATCTGAGGCCTGCCTGCGTTGAGCAGGCGCCCCTACCCCAACAGGAGCGGGGTACGGGGCGGTGCAGGGCCACTGACGTCCAACCACCCATCCCGCAGGTTGAAGGGCTATGCACAAAGTGCGCTGGTGGACACGATGGAGTTGAATGCCTCCTACCCCTTTCCCACCTTCTCCATCAGCACCCTGGATCCTTCCACGTATCGGGTCTGCATCCCCTCCAAGGATCCGGCCTGCGCCTTTGTCTCGGTTGTGGAGTGCCTGCCCAGCGGGGTGCCAGCCTGCCAGCCGGACGCTAATGGCAACGTGGGAAACAACAACCTAGGGAGTCACAACCACGGCAACAGCAACAGGGGTGACGACAACCAGGGTGAGGCGGGGCTGGGCCGGGCGCAGGGCATGTCAACCCCTCCCAGGGAAGGAGCACTGCCCTCACCCGCTTGACCTCTGGACCGCAGGCAGCTTCAACGCTGGGGATCGGAATATCGGCGATTACAACGTTGGCAAGGAGGTCGTGTGCTTCAGCAACATGCCTGTCTACGAGTGCAAGCTGGAATACCTGAGGACGGAGGACACCCTTGCGCTTGACGCTCCACCCCCACCCCAACCGCCGCCGCCGAATCCCCCCCCATCCCCCCCCGCCCCCACCCCCCACCCAAGCCCCCCCTCCCCTCCCCCACCACCCCCACCGCCGGGGCAGACGTGCGACCCCCGCACCAAGTTCTACGGCCTCCCAACGATTGAGTGAGTCCAGGGCCGGGGACTTGCCTGTGCTGGCCATGCTTTGCTCCTGGGATTTGAACGGTGGCTGTGCCTGGTGAAGGGTTGTTTCAGCTGCCACCCTCCCACTGCTGACCAGGTACAATGGAACCCTGTACCTGACGAGCGCAGAGGACCCCGACACATATTGCCGGTGAGGCGCCTTGATCCGCCCATTGGCTCTGATGTGGCTGGGGAGGGGCGCCGTCGTCTATATTTGAGGGAAACATGCATATTCCTGACATTGAGGTAGATCCCTTCGTCCTAGCAACCTCCATCACCGTCCTGGCCACACAGGCTGCAAGGGTTTGAAGCGGCGGGCACCTGGGCATACCTCGAAATGGAGTCCTCCACTACCCTCAACTTTCCCATGGCCTTGATAGACCCCAGAAACAGAGTGGTGTGCTCCCCCAGCTCCTCCGTAGCCTGTCGAGCGCTGTCGGTGGTGGAGTGTCTGCCCACCGGAATAAGCAAATGCTTGATGGACTCCAATGGGAACATTGGCAACCGCAACACTGGCTCATACAACATTGGACACAACAATCATGGCAGCAACAATAACGGTGAGGAAGTGGAAAGTGCAATAAGGTATGCATTAGGTGCGAGCCTGGCCGAGTGACCAAAGAAATCCACCCTTGTGCAGGAAATGACAACCATGGAAGCTTCAACACCGGGAACCGCAACTGGGGTGACTACAACATTTGTAATGACCTCGAGACCCAAGAGAAATTCCCATGCAACATTGGGGCACTCAAAACATCGGAGACTCTCATTCTGAGTAGCCCCCTACCTCCTGCTCCCCCACCTGGAGGCCCAGCATCGCCAAGCCCTCCACCCGCTCTCAGTCCTCCCCCTGCTGTGGGCCCTTCGCCTGCCCCAGCGAATCCTCCGCCGGCCATCAGTCCCTCTCCAGCCGCACCCAGTCCAACCCCAGCACCAGCCTCCCCCCCTAGTCCTGGGGCCCCTCCACCTTCACCGGTGCCACCTCCCGTGGAGCCTCCCTCGGTGTCCCACCCACCACCATCACCATCACCTGCAGGGATGCCTAGCCCACCACCTGCCATCCCATCCCCACCCCCCCCTGTTAGGCCACCGCCACCTTTCCCCAGGCCATCGCCGCTGCCACCCACCAAGAAGCCGCCAACCCCCTCTCCAAAGAATTCATCCCCGCCTCCGGTCAGAAAACCTCCACCACCCTATCCTAGGCAACCACCCCCTCCTCCGGTTAAGAAGCCGCCACC